GTTACACTACAAAGCAAAAAAGTCTCATCACAAACATAAGAATATCACCCAAGTAGATCTCTGAACTACAAACACCCTGGAAGCAAATGCTACTACCCAGTATTAAGCATCATATGGTCCAGGAGAAGCAGAAGAACCTTCTCCTGTGCTGACCCCAAGGAAAGCCCACTGCAGAGCTGCTGATCTGGGGGCCCAGCATAAGTGGACACTCCATAAGATGAAGCAAGACCAGAGGAGGACACAGAGATGCTCAAAGAGCTGGAGCCCCTCTGCTCTGGAGACAGGCTGGGAGACTTGGGGGTGTTCACCTGGAGAAGAGAAGGCTCTGGAGAGACTTCATTGTGGCCTTTCAGTTCTTAAAGAAAGGGACTTCTAAAAAAGAAAGGGATTTTTTCTATGGACAAAAGATGACAGGAGATGGGGGAATGGTTTTAAACTAAAAGAGATGAGATTAAGACTACATTAGGAGAAATTCTTCCCTGTGAGAGTGGTGAGGCCCTGGCACAGGGTGCCCAGAGACGCTGTGGCTGCCCCTGGATCCCTGGAAGTGTCCAAGGTCAGGTTGGACAGGGCTTGGAGCAACCTGGGACAGTGGAAGATGTCCCTGGCCATGGCAGAAAGTCAATGCAATATTAAGGTCCCTTCCATCCCAAACCACTCTGGAATTCTGTGGAACACCAGCAGCACAGGATCTGCTGGGGCATTCAGAGCAGTGAGGCTGCATCAGCCACAGCTGGATAAACTGACCCCCTACATCACTACTGACAATGATTAGAAATAATAAATACCAAATTACTTCCATGTGCAAGTTCACTAGGATAAATGTAATGATACACAGAAGACACAGGTGCTAAAACATTATTATACTATTTACAAACAATCAATGCTGAAAAGATATTATATTCCTGCACACAAAGACTAAGGATATTTTACAAGCCTTTTTTTCCAAGAAGAAAGTGGCCTTCCTTCCATAAATCTGCATTTCATTTTATTAAAACAGATGACAAACTATTTTTAGCATTATCTGTTTTTGTGTACTATGCTGTGCCAACCACAGCATCACTACTAAATAAATTCTTCTGGTCCCTTGACTGGCTTTTCTAGTTATACTCCTTAAAAATACCTCCTTCTACCTACCTAGAGTCATGTGTTAGATCAAACAGTTGTTTAGCTCCATACAGATTTTTTTAAAATACAAATAGAGAATACTGAAGTGAATTATTATTACATTTGAATTTAACAAAACTAGGGATAATGACAACACATATTAACTCCAAGTAGGAACTGTCTCTATAATGCAGAATAGAATTATGAAACTTATTTCATATGCTACAGTTTTAAAAATAGAAGCTGTTAGAAAAAGCAATGATTTTTTTATACTTACTAAAATTCTCTTTAGTATAAAATACACACATCCACAAAATGCCCTGAGAAAGTAAACCTGAATGCATACAACAGCATTTCAGCAGTGTTCTGTTGCCTTGTTCATTCTGGAGGGGAAAACAAAGAACCTAAAACACTGCAGCAGGAAATGACAAATTTATTTTGCCAGCTGCAGAAGGCAGGGATTCAGTGACATTCCTGACTTTACAGGCTCAGTCTGTAATCCACCTCATCTAAACGTCAGTATTATGTGACCATGTAATATAAAGGGAAGAATATAAGGGGCACAAAAATCTGATTTCAAATGGAACAGAAATGCCAAACTACAGAGAGAGTCTTGTAGCTGCATTTCTACCAGTGTTACCACCGTGTCTACTGCTTACATCTAACAGCTCAAACTGGTAAAGCAGATTTCTCTTCTCCTCACTGAAATGAGTAACACTGGAGCAAGTGCTTTCAACATTGTCTTTCACTGTTGTTTAGTTTCCACCACAGATTCCTTAACTGAGTCAAAAAACCTGGAGTACCATGGTTCCTATTTATTAAATATATACGAGACAAAAGAGGCAGATCATAAATCCTGCTTTTGGCCAGGGCTTCCTGAGTTACACTCTGAGAGCACTGTGTGTAACTCCCACCCACGCTAATTCCTGCTATAATTCTTCTGAATACAGTGACATTAAGAATGAAAGCAGGGCTTTGTCTTTTAAAAAGGGTGCTGAGGTTGGGAAGGAGGGTTGGAAGGGAAGGAAGGCAAAACCAAAAAATGGCAACTGTAGCACTAAACACTCCTCATGATCAGTCTGGAGTAACTGATGTAGAACCATTGAATGTTATTTCATGTACCATTAGGTATGATTGAAAGCACAGCACATCTCAGAAAAAAAAATAAAAATAAGATACCAGCCGATTTTCAGAGTGTTCACTTGCACACAACCTGCCTGTAGCCAGCAGAGAAGGCTGAGCCTGGTGTGGAGGAGCTGGGAGCAGAGCCAGGCAGCTCTGATTGTACCACAGACAGGTACCAAGAGAGGCAGTGACAGAAATTGCCCTCAGATGTTGCCTGCAGGCTTAGCTGCACAGCCCAGCCCCAAAACAATCTGCTCTAATTTTGTTCAGCCATTAAGCAGATAAATCTACTTAATCTTCCCCAGGTCAATAAATGACACTCTAATATCAGTATTTCCAGCAAAACCTGCTGTCAGTGCAATAGGTGTTAGTGCAGAGGTTCCTTCAACCATCCAGCTAGACAAATATTGGTTGTGATACAATATTCCCATGGTAATAGACTCAAAATAAATGCTGTCAAGTGTTAAGTGATTTACAGAGCATTTAAACCCAGGGATTAATATAGAACTTTAAAGATGAAGTGTCAAATTAGGGTTTTTCTAATTTACACGCAATTTGAAGAATTTAAATTAATGGACAACTAAGTTAACAAGTTGTGAAAGGACGTGAGGGATAACAGTAAATGTAAATATAAATCTATTAAATCTTCTACTTCTTTCCTGATTTAAGTATGCACAGACAAAGAAACCACAGACATGTGAACACAGGCAAAATGTGTCATGTTGAATCCTGCACTCACCTCCCAGCAAGTATTCTACTACTTACAGGAAGGCAGAAAACATTATATTTTGGGTGTCTGGGTGTCAGGAATTAATTGCACTAGCACCATCTACAAAATATAGATCTTTTGTTTTTAATAAACTATAGAAATAAAATAGGCCAATTCAGGCTTTTGCTGAAGCAATAACTAATGTGCTACACCAAAAATATAACTCATCTTGTTTACTATTACTACATTTGCAAAGTATAGAAACCATGTTCCTAATCTTTTTGAAAGTATTTCCAAATGTAAAAGAAAAAATATGTTTAATAGAAAATAAGCATTCAATTGCCATCTTTCCAATTATAACATTCTCAATTTACAGAATGGATTGGATACACAGGTTCTATTTTCTTGAGGGTGATTACGTTCTCCCACCTCTAATAGCTACACTGAAGCAAT